TTCAAGGATTTCAGCCCTTAATATCACGACTTATTCCAAAGGCTGGTTTGTGCATACAGGCCTTTACTAATATATAAAATATAGCAACAATTATAGAGTAGGATTGTAGTGCAGGATGGTAGTGTAGGTTTGTAGTGTAGGATTGTAGAGTAGGATTTTAAATAAAATTTCTAAAATCTCAACTCCTTTGGAACATTTCTCTCCTTCTGACCCTGTGAGAAAGCTCAACATTTCCTTCTGAATTGTCAGTTTTTTATCAGAGGTGGAAAGTGACATTGATGGCTTCTTTGGTACAGTTTGTAAGGGGGGAAGGCTCCTCTTCATTCATCCTCTCCAGACCACACTGCCTTTGGAATATGGCCAACTGGACAAGTTTTGCCCAGCTCTGGCATTTCTATTTGAGGCAGAAACAGCAATGGCATTTGCAGGAAAAACCAAAGGAGGAGCGGTGCAACGCAAACATCCTGTGCAGATGCAGGCTGTGCAGATGTGACTCGAGAACATTTGGGTTTCTGCCACTTGGATTTGTATCCCTAAGAGAAATCTCTTTGGCTGGAGGAGAGTCTGGCTGAAGAGAGAAAGCAGAAAGAGCAGTGAGGGTGCTGTGCAAGGTCTCCTGTGGTGCAGAGCTGTCAGCGACTGTGAGGTGAGAGCGGGCCCGGCCTTGGCCAGGCTGGAGCCCCAGCAGAGCCCTGGCAGAGCCCGGAGAAGCCTGAGCTTCAGCAGAGGCAGGCTGGAAGGAGGCCCTTGGAGCTGCAAGAGGCAGCAGCCTGGCCCTGGCTGCCTCTTGCTGGCACCAGGCAAATCCTCCGCTCTCAGAGCCAAGCTGGCAGCTGGCTGCTCCTGAGGGGAAGCGGCGCCGTGCTGGGCACAGCACACACTGGTGCCATGGGCTGTCTGGAGTCTGCACAGGAGGAGAGAAAGGCAAAGAGCAGCCCAGGGCTGCTGCCCTGCCTGACCATTGCTGCTCTTCTGCCACCTGCCCTGGAACTCCTGGCAATGGTCAGCAGTGTGTGCAGCACTCTGGGCACAGGGGGAGGGAGCCGGGCTGCTCCGCAGGCTCCAGCACAGGGCAGTGTCCTTCAGGCACGGCATTTCTGCCAGGGGAACCGAGACCAGCGTGAGGCACTGACAGCAAGTCAGGGCACATCTGCATGAGCCAGTGCCTCACACAGCTCTGGGACCAAGCGCCTGCAATCCTGGAGCTCTGCACTGAGCCACAGCAAAGGTGTGAAATGCAGAGGGCTTTGCAGAAATATTCAGGGGCACCAGGCCAGCCTGCTTGGTGCTCTCTGGGGCACAGCAAGCACTGTGCAATGCAGCTCGGAGCTGCTGGCAGAGAGGGACTATGGGCATGTGCCTGAGGCTTGTTCTTGAGTAGTGATTTGGAAGGGAGCAGAAGGGTCTCAGTAGGCAATTTGTGTTTTCTTCATTAATTTCTGCATGGACGACACAATGTGGCATCACGCAGCAAGAGCACTTAGAAAACTTTTTTACTCTAAGTTTGTGTTGAATTCCAAGAAAAGGAAGGAGAGGTATTGGGAAGATGCTGAAGTGTAACAAATAGGGCTTGTGAATTCCGTTACTTTTAACAATTTTCTGGGATTGAAAGTCAACAAATCAGCTTTCCCCAAGGAATTCCCATTGTTGATCTGTGTCTGAATGGATGTTCCTGCCCTGTGTTCATCCAGGTGCCCACAGGGAGCCAGGAAGATGTGGAGCCTCCCAGCCAGGTGTCTTCCCAACACGGATCACCAGGACCCCGGATCACCAGGGCTCTGCCCAACGGGGGTCACTGGGGATCATCCAACGCCCATCCTCCCATGGGGGATGGAGCTGGAGCAGCGCACGAAGCTCTTCCCACACTTGGGGCACTCGCAGGGCTTCCCTTAATGGTGACTCCGTTGGTGTTGGGTCAAGTTAGATCTCTGTGAGAAGCTCTTCCCACACTGGGGACACTCATAGGGCCTCTCCCCAGTATGGATGCGCCGGTGGGCAGTGAGGATGGTGTTGCGGTTGAAGCTCTTCCCGCAGTCGGGGCAGCGGAAGGGCCTCTCGTCTGTGTGAATCCGCTCATGTCTGATGAGAGTGGAACTGCGCTGAAACCTCTTCCCACACTCCGGACACTCGTAGGGCTTCTCCCCGGTGTGAATGACCTGGTGATTCCTCAGGTCAGAGCTCCACCCAAAGCTCTTCCCACAATCCAAGCAGGTGTAGGGTCGTTCCCCTGTGTGGCTCCTCTGGTGCTTCCTAAGGCTGGAGCGGTCATTGAAGCTCTTCCCACATTTTCCACACTTGTAGGGCTTTTCCCCAGTGTGAATCACTTGGTGCCGCATGAGGCTGGAGCTCTGGCTGAAGCTCTTCCCACATTCCCCACACTCGCAGGTCTTTTCCCCAGTGTGAATCACCTGGTGCCGGATCAGGTAGGAACTCTTTTTGAAGCCCTTCCCACATTCCAAGCACTTGTAGGGCTTCTCCCCTCCGTGAGGCTTCACCCCCAGCTCCGAGCTCTGGCTGGATCTCTGGCCACCTTCCTGGCACAGGGGGGATCTTTCCTCTTCACAGCTCCTTGGGCTGGGTTTGCAGCCCCTCCTCGTGTGGGATCTCTGGGGCTTTTCCTTCTCCTCCATCTGGCCTCGGTTTGGGAATGAAAAATCCTGGTCTGGGGAAAAAACAAGAGAAGAGTGTCTTGGGGTGGGGATTCTTTCTTGCCCAAGTTCATCTCAGGAAGTCATTGGGCATCTTGTGTCTGGAAGAACCTCCAGGACACCAAGATTCAGCACAAACATCCTCCAAACATCAAGACGTTACTATGGGGTTAAATGTTTCTGAAAATGCTTATTAAAATCATGTAGAGGTAGGCCACAAGAATGCTTGGTATTGGGGATGATCTAGCAAGCTGAAATGTTTACGGTAACGGGAACTGGTACTTGGGGTCTCCAAGATACCCACCCAGAGATAAGATTCGTACATGTTCATACAAGGATGAGCTAACTCTCATGAAGCAATATCGATAAAGTTAATGAAGCAATATTAATGAAGCAATATTGATAAGGTTGTTATAGTGATTACTGCTACAGCTGAAATTGTAGAAATATGTGCACTTTGGACAAAGACGATGGAGATAGATTTGGGTTGCTGATACCCCTAGTGCCCACGCACTTCAATAAAGCACCTGCATATAATCAGTCTGTGATTATGTGTGTTCCTGAACGCTAACATTTTGGTGACCCAGATGGGACCCTGTGAGTGCTGCTGAGCGAGCTCACGACCCGATCACGCTCCAGCCGGCACCGAGGGATTCTCGGGAAGCCCATCCAGCTGCGACCGTCTGCGCTGCTCACAACGTCCCTCTGAGAGAGGTGAGGTGCTTTTCGGTCTGCTCTGGTGCCTGCCGATAAGACGCAGCCAAAGCTTCGCACGGTTGGGCTGGAGGAATTCCTGGTATTGCCCAGGCGCCGTCTGTCAGACAAGTGCGAAAGCGCTGCAGGTTGGGCAGCAGTGGTGTGTGGTGTATTGTAACTGTAACATGGAGAAGCTTAAAGGGATTTGAGGTGGCAATGCCCCTGTACCACCTACTTCTCCTTTGGGGTGCTTATTAGCACATTGCAAACAGGGAAACTTTGGGCAAGATTTACGTAAAGTTGATTGATTATTGTAATACATGGTGGCCAGGATATGACCTGGACAGTGGGGAAAAGTGGCTGAGAAATGGATCTTTGCAGTAGAACACCATTTTACAGTTGATGTTGTTCTGTAAGCCCGAGGGAAAGTGGGATGAAGTTTCGTACGTTGATTTGTTTTTCTATTTGTGAGACAAGCCAGAATGGCAGGCTGAGTGTGGATTGATGGCAGTTAAGGCACGTGTGAGTGATAAATGTGAGCTTTGTGTAAAAGGAAAAAGTTGTTTAGAGCACCTGGCATTAAAAGAAAGTTTGTGTCGGGGGAAAGAGATGGATGTTGATTTACAAGTGGTTTCAGCAGAACCAAAAGAACCCAATTTTGTTTTGTCTGCCCCCACTTCACCCAATCCTATTTCACCTAACCCTATCTCGCCTAATCCCACTTCACCTTTCCCTCTTTATCCTCCTCTACCGCCTTCACCTGATCCTTCTTCTCCAGGAGATGATCCAAATCTAACCGTGATACAAGGAAATGTGAAAAATGCTGGGGAGGAAGATAGCAGTAGCGGGGGTGATGATAATAAATCAGCGACACCGGTATCCCATCGGACTCGGTCACAGCTTGCTCCGGTTCTGGGTAGAACGGGAAAAGATTTGGGCAGACAAAGGCGGACTGTGATTGCCCCCTTGAGACAAGGAGTAGCAGTAGAAGGGCTGGTGTTTGTGGAAGTTCCTTTTTCACCCGCAGACTTGATAATTTGGAAACAATCAGCTGGAACTTAGAGAGAAAATCCTGATAAAGTAGCAGGGGTGGTAAAAATGATTATGAAAACTCAGATCCAGTTTGGGATGATATACAAGTAAAAGTGGAGAATTTAATGGACTCTACTGAGAAAGAGATGGTGCTTAGAGCAGCCAAGGAGAAGGTGAGAGAAGATCTCAGAACTGGGGTGCTGACGGCGACTTTAGATGAGAACTTTCCAACCGAGGATCCAGGGTGGGATCCCAATGCCTTTGGGGACATGCGGAGGCTGAAGAGATATCAAGAGTGGCTCCAGACAGGGGTTGGGAATGCTGTACCTAAGGCTATGAATTGGTCTAAATTGTATGAGATAAGACAGGAAAAGAAAGAATCCCCTGCTGCATTTTTGGAAAGGCTTAAGGAGGCAGCAAGAAAGTATACAGATCTTCAACTAGAAACAGAACAAGCGAATGTTCAGCTGGCATTCATTTTTCTTGGGCAGTCGCAGGATGATATTAGGAGAAAACTGCAGAAGTCAGAAGGAGAAGATTCAAGGAATTTGAATCAATTACTTGAAGTGGCTTGGAAAGTATACAATAACAGGGAAAAGGAAGCTAGTAAAAAGCAGCAGCAAAATCTTTTGGCAGTGATCCAAGGAAGAGAGAATCCAGGTTTCAGAGGATGCGGCAGAGGTGGTCGTGGACTGGGGAGGGGCGGACTTGGCAGAGGACGAGGGGGATGGGTTTTGCCAAGATTGGGGTTAAATCAATGTGCTTCTTGTAGACAAGAGGGGCACTGGAAAAATGAATGCCCAAATCGGTTTAACCAGGGCAAGCAGTTCAAGCAGAATCAAGATGCTTCCAAATTAATGGTGCTGGGGGAGTACAGCAGCTGACTAGAATCGGAACAAAAACCAACACAAGAACCTTTAGTAACTATACAATTGGGAGATAAAGAAGTAAAATTTCTGGTGGATACGGGGGCTACATATTCTGTGCTAAATGATCTAAAAGGGCAAACTGGAGACAAAACAGCAACAATAGTTGGAGCCACAGGGAAGGAGGAGAATCGACCATTCCTGCAACCCCTGGATTTGTGTTTTGGAAACAAAGTGTTAACACATGAATTTTTAGATATGCCTCAGTGTCCAATTCCACTTTGAGGATGAGATTTATTAGCAAAACTTGATGCAGTGATAACTTTTGAAAACGGGGAGCTTTCAATGAAAATACCTGAATCAAAGACAGGACAAATCTTAATGATAAAAGAAAAACCAGTCCCTGCTATCCCTCGGGAAGTAGAGGATGCAGTAATTCCCTCTGTATGGGAAACAGACATACCAGGAAAATCTAAGTTGGCACAACCAGGACATGTAGAATGAAAAGAAGGAGCAAAAGCTGTCCAGGTTAAACAGTATCCCATAAAGCCAGAAGCACGGCAAGGAATAGTAAAGATTACTGGAAAATTTTTGAAGTACCAAATTTTAGAAGAATGTGAATCAGAATTGAATACACCAATACTTCCAGTGAAGAAACCAAATGGTGAGTACAGACTAGTACGGGATTTAAGAGCAATAAATGGAATAACTAAAGATATTTACCCAGTGGTAGCTAATCCCTACACATTGTTGACATCTGTGAAAGAGAAATAGAAATGGTTTACTGTAATTGATTCAAAAGATGACTTTTTCTGCATACCCCTTGACAAAGAAAGTAGGAAACTGTTTGCCTTTGAATGGGAAAATCCAGACAATGGAAGGAAAACTCAGCTCACCTGGACACGACTCCCACAAGGATACAAGAACAGTCCAACCCTATTTGGAAGCCAGGTGGCGAAGGAGCTGGAGATTTGGAACGAGAATGGGCAAGTACCAAGAGAACAATACCTGCTGTTACAGTATGTTGATGATATACTGACAGCTACAGAAAACAACCTGCATAAAGGTAACAATTGAAATTTTAAATCAACTAGGAATGGGAGGATATAAAGTGTCTAAAGAAAAGGCACAAATTGCCCAACAGACTGTGATTTACCTGGGATGTGAAATCTCACAAGGGCAATGTAAGCTGGGTACTAACCGTATTCAAGCTATTTGTGCTATTCCAGAACCCCAGAACCTGCATGAGCTGCGAGTTTTCCTTGGGATGACAGAGTGGTGCAGCCTGTGGATCATGGACTATGGACTAATTGCAAAACCCCTGTATGAAGCCCAGAAGACACAACCGCTTACCTGGGGCAGACCACAGAAGGAGGCCTTCCTCAAACTGAAGGAGGCATTGACAACAGCTCCGGCGTTAGGATTGCCTGATCTATCCAAAGATTTTCAGCTGTTTGTGCATGAAAGATCACACCCAGCACTGGGAGTGCTGACCCAACCTTTGGGAAGCTGGAAAAGGCTGGTAGGCTGCTTTTCCAAACAACTTGACAACGTGAGTGCTGGATGGCCTTCATGCCTGCGGGCAGTTGCAGCCACTGTGATGCTGATCCAAGAAGCCAGGAAACTCACGATGGGTAGACACATAGATGTCTATGTGCCACACATGGTGACCACTGGTTTAGAACAAAAGGGGGGCCAATGGCTATCTCCAAGCAGGATGATGAAATTCCAGGCAATCCTAACCGAGCACGATGATGTCACATTAAAGACAGCTAAACCTTTGAATCCAGCTTTGCTCCTTACCAGCAAACACATCTGCCCAACGAGCAGAACTGGTTGCTTTAACCAGGGCATTAGAGATGAGTGAAGGGAACAAAGTAAATATCTGGACTGATTCAAAACATGCTTTTGGAGTGGTGCATGTACACGGGGCACTGGGGAAAGAAAGAGGACTGCTGTCTTCTCAAGGCACACACATTAAACATCAAGATGCAGTCCTGCAATTAATAAAAGCAGTACAAAAGCCTGACCAAGTAGCAATCATGCACTGCAAAGCTCACCAATCAGGAAGCTCCAAAATTCATGAGGGAAATCGGAAAGCAGACTGGACAGCCCGACAAGCTGCTCGAGAAGTGCAAACTGCAATGGCATTGATACCTTTAAAAACTAATGTATCTCAATTCAATTTACCCCCAGAACCAAGATATTCAATAGAGGATGAGAAATTGGGACGCTCACTGAATGCACAGAAGAATTCAGAAGGGTGGTATGTGACTACACAGGGACAAGTAGTGGTACCCCCCTTGATAATGAGAGAAGTTCTACAAATTAAACATAACAAATGTCATTGGAGTGCAGAGGCATTGGTGAAATTGTTAAAACAAAATTTAATTTCAGTACGGATGTTAACAATGGCAAAATCAGTAATGTCAAAATGTGAAATTTGCTTAAAGAACAATCCAGTGGCTAGATGACAGGCACAATTAGGGAAAATTCGGGTAGGAGTAGAACCAGGAGATTATTGGCAAGTAGATTTTGTAGAATTAGCAAGAACTCGAGGATACAAATATCTATTGGTAGGGGTTGACACATTTTCAGGATGGCCAGAAGCTCTTCCCTGTCACACAAATCAAGCAAAGGAGACAGTCAAGTGGTTACTGCAAGAAATCATTCCAAGATTTGGGGTGCCTCTAGGAATATCATCAGATAGGGGCCCACATTTCACAGCCACAGTAGTGAGGGAGGTGAGTAGGTTACTGGGAATAGCTTGGCATCTCCATACACCATGGAGACCCCAATCCAGTGGACAGGTAGAGAGGATGAATCAGACATTGAAGAGGCAAATCAGCAAAAGATGCCAAGAGGCTAAATTGCAGTAGCCACAACCTTTACCAATAGCACTGCTG